AACATATTTTAGATCGGGCATAATTTTCGTGCAAAGCGCCCTAGATTTCTGAAACTTTTGAGAACAATTATACACAAACAGAAGTTTCAGTGTTGAATTTTCTTTTCTTTTCTGACGTAATTTCTTTTCTGACGTGACTGAAATATGAAAATTTGAATAAAATTACGACCTATCAAACCATGGTACACACATTACGTTCAGGTGTCCGCTATCTTGGTTCACATACTCGGTAGTTCCCGCCAGACGTCATTTGGATACCGGCTCACTGGACTGGTAGAAATAATCTAGTACACTACACAACAAAAATACTGAGCGGTATTCCCTGTCGCTCCAGAAGTATGTGTACCAATATGTAGGTAATTAATTTTATTCGCCTATTTTACATCAAGTTATGTGAAGGGGCTGAAACCTACGACAAACTCACTTTGGCAAGACAGACAGTTCCCGAACTCGTAATAAAACTAATATAAGGAAAATCGGAATAAAGTTACGGCCTAACTTTAACCTGGTACACATACTACGGGGGTACTTACAACCTAATCGGTTCGGCATAGCCTCGGTCTATAATAGCGAGTAGATATTGATAGAACAGCGTTTTCAATACAGTACAAATAATTTTCCACGTCCTAAAGGGTTTCAAAAAGATTTTAGAGAAACAAATTCATGAACACAATTGAATAGAAAGTCAAATTGTCATCGAAAAGAGTTTGCGAATTTTAAAATTATAGTTTTCGAATTTTCCAATTAAAATAAACGCAATTCAAGACTCCTGCTTCACACTAACACAAATATATTTCTGTAACGTTCCGCCTGACCAACAACAATGACAAGAAAATTTAAAAGGCGTGATTGTTGAAACTGATTTCAAATAAATTTCAAATAAAAGCTCATTCCGAGTATGACGTCTCAAGCGACTAACTAGGATAGGATAAGATATGATTTATATATTTATCCCGCGTGAGAGGGAAAGCCCATTAATCACATGGCTAACCACAGCCTCTCGTCTCGAGCAGTTCATGTCGAGTATGGGATTAGTTAGCCAGTTTTTTGTTTGTTTTTGGAAGAATGGACCTAATACCTAATTCCTTAATTGTACTAAGTTGACATCGTGCTACTTTTACTATCGAATGCAAAATTACAAAAATATAAAATATAAATAAAAACTGAAACTCACCAAGATTTGGAGATGATCCTCATAGATAGTAGGCGTATCTTCATCTACCTAACTAAGCCAAATCGTAAATCTCTAAACCTCAGAAGAATCCACCAACAAGTATAAAAATCTACGGCGAGTACCAGGCAACCCAGTTTGTTTACAAACAAATCCAAGTGGGGATGTAAGAATAGAAAGGCGTTCTCTTTCCTAATTGATTAATTTGTTACGAGTAAGCCGACAGAAGGGCTGCTTTGGCGATTGACATCTTTTATTCGTTAAAAATTTTCGTTTTTGATATTTCGATTACCAATCATTTGGTTTTATAATTTAATTAAACGCATTTCTCACACGTTCACATAGTAGGAATAAAAAATGAAAAGTAAAGTCGATAACGTCAAAAACCTTGATTTACTGTGACTAAAACTGGCAGACTATATGAGTATATACCAAGCGAAATACAATGTTCTAACCCAACAAAGTCACGGATTACCTTTTAGATATTCAACAATATTCTCCACAAAGTCTTCTCAATTTTTGTTGTTTGTTGGTTCCCAGGGTAGAATCGTTTTTATGGCTCTGTAGACTTCGCCGGGGCAAAGTTTACTTTAAAGTGTTTCGATTTCAACTTTTTAGTAATGTGTCAAATTAGTATCTTGGATAAGCTATAGTAAACTTTCGAAACGGATCTTTCATGTTGGGGACCAGTGGTCACTTGTCTAATATAACAGTGACCCTGTAATATCGAAGAATGGACCCATAAAAGCAATTCCGAGATACCTAAATTCTCGATTCCGGGCTGAATTAAGTTTGTTTTTATGTCCACAATGTTTTGAATAAAACTTAAGCATTTACGAGTCCTTTTCAACTTGATTGAATAATCTCCCACTTCCAGTTTGTGAAAGTTTCAAAATAGCCTCGTCAGAATTTTAAAACACAACTCCGGCTATATCTCAATATTAGCCCCAATTTTTAAAATCCAAAATTTAGATAATATCACAAAATTGTCGATTAAAAAACAATTTTGATTGCGCATCATCGTTATATGTCACTAGAGAGCAGCATTATCAACATGACAAACTTCGCCACAAGGTTTTGATAATGAGTCGAAAAAGAGGCACTCCCGAAGTATGAGTACCCGGTACCATTCCGATTTTCTTAATTTTAGTTCTAGTACGAGTTCGGGGACTGTCTGTGTAAGCCAAGTGAATATACCCCTGCCCATAGGTTTCAGTCCCATACACAAATTGATGTAAAATAGGCGAACAAAATTAGTTACCTCTATATTGGTACAAACACTTCTGGAGCGCCGAAAAATATAATGACTATCAGATAAAAACTTCTTTCTCTGAAAATACCGACGTAGGTTGATTTAATATGAGCGAGCCCCAATGCGGTCCAATCATAATAGCACAATGGAAATGGAGCGCTCTGTGTTTTCGGGAAACGAAATCTTACCATACTAAAGTAAATTGCAACTGAAACAAACTCAAGATAGCAAAGTGTCAAGTTAGCAAAGTGTCAAGTTGGCAAACCTGTTACCACTGGAGCATCTGTACAAAATTTAAATCGTTCGGAGTCTTATTAAAAGTTTCTCGGCTACGGAGGCCTGGATGGCATAAAGCAAGCAATCCTTCTTTAATAAGACTCGCTAGGTCGCTTCTGTTTCCAAATCAAATCGCGTTTACGGCGCTCCTCAAATCAACCCGAAGTTACGTTCACGTCAAACTTACGCAAATGTGAAAGGTGGAGAAACGGCGTATTCTGAATAATTATAAAGAGTGACCATTCACTTGAAATAAACAATACAACATGACGTCAAGTCGTGACGTCATAGCACGGATTTGTGACCCGAAGAGAGATGCCCTAATGAAATCATGTATTTTGTTTTTTATAAAAACAAATTTGACAAAAAAAATACTTGAATGTGTTGTATTTGTTCGACAAACGTACACACATAAAAGATGAAAAATTACAAAAAATGTTCTAATCAAAAATAGGACGCTTTAAGCAAATGAATATAAGTCAAACCCAGCAGCAAACTCAGCATTCAAAGATTTTATTCTTGTTATTCATATATTTAATATATACCTTCTTATCGACAATTCACTCCAACTTAATCTTGTGCTCTATATTGCATATGTGTTTGAATAATCAAACACACACATAATTCAGCATAGTTGAAACTAAAAACATGATTCGAATATTTGCAGATATTCAAATCTCAATTTGCATATATAAACGGTATCACAATGTTACCGTTAAGTTGAATCTACGATTCTCGAGCGTCAGGAAGAGTAATTTAAGTCGGGTTTGTGCAATATTTTTTGCAAAAGATTTTTTCTTTTAGTTGTTATCTTTATAAACAAGGAAGCAGATAAATTTCCATACAAAACTTTTTACACGAAGCCCAAAGCAGGAATTCGGTCAGTTTAAAAATTCATGTAGAAAACTCTAATTTTACGAGATTCATTTTTAACGTTCGAGGCTACAGATTAATAAAATTTGACAATACATTTCAGAAAATTTGGCAATCGAGCCAAACTATAGCAAAAGTTATTCATCGGCTGACTATAAAAACGGTGATAGGCAAAAAAAATAGGCAATGAGCTTGAAGTAACTTGGTGATTTAAAGACAAAACATAAGGCATTTTCATTAACTAAATCAGTACAATTAAATGAAAATTTAATAACAGAGCAGTAATTGATTTAAACAGGGCTTGTGAGTCGGAGAGAGTTTTATCCGGATAGACAATATTTCTGATTTTAAATCCCGGATTCAAATGAATTTTGACTCCAACTTCAACACCGGAGTGATAAAATTTTGGTCCTAAAAACTTCGAGGTTCACAAATAATTTTACTGTTTCAGTTCACAATTTTGATTCCGATTTTTAAACAGAGCTGTGGCATCGGAATTAAGCATGTTTTATTTGAAGTCAGGGCTGGGTTCAAAGTTCAAAGTTTAAACCTTCTGGAATATCCGAATTCCGGCTACGACCCAGAAACCAGATATAATGAACAAGAAACTCCGGTTTCTACTTTAACAGCGGCATGAAACTAAGCTTCGATTCTCCATTTGCGTCTTAAAAGCATAATGTAAAGTAACTAACTGTGTTATAACAGAGGGCAGCATGTAAAGGTCAGTTATGAGTCAGTCTGTGAAGACAAAGAGATAGGGAAATGAAGAAATACAGAAAAGTATGAAAGTAGTACTTAATATGATTTGAAGTCGGAAAAGAAAAAAAAGGTAAAACGAGAAATAGAAAAAAGTATTTAAAATTGGAACACTTTTTCGAAAATACCGAATGAACACCCCTAAAAACAGAACTCAGATCCTTTGGGACATATTCTAGATCGATCAGATCGATTGGTAACTTCATTTTAATAGTAGGCTAGTAGGCAGGGAGTAGAAAGTTAGTTATAGGTCAGTCTATGAAAATGGAGAATAGTTAGAGCAGTGAAGAAATGCAGAAAATTATGAAAGTATATGATTTAAAAATGTGAGAGAAAATAAGTGAAACGAGAACTAGAAAGAAATTTCCAAACTTGGTTTATTTAAAAATTTGAAATCCTTTTTTTAAAAAATAGAATGTCCCCCCCCCCCCCCCCCCCCCAAAACAGAACCCAGATCAGTCGGAACATATTTTAGATCGGGCATAATTTTCGTGCAAAGCGCCCTAGATTTCTGAAACTATTGAGAACAATTATACACAAACAGAAGTTTCAGTGTTGAATTTTCTTTTCTTTCCTGTAGAAGTTAATAGGGAGTTACTTGAAGCTGTCTTTTGGAATCACCCTGTACTATCTGGTTTTAGAATATCAAATACAATTGAAAATATTACACGGGACGACAACTCTATTTTATAAAATCTGCTACACCAAATTTGGATAAGTGCAGATGAGGGCATACCTTGTTAAGAAAAAATAGCGCACATAAAAGAAAAGCTCTAAAATGAAGTAAAAAGATTGTTACAGTGATTATTGAAAAACATTGGCTTTTTGTCTAATTGCATTATTCAAAAATTGGCCCAAAAAAGTGCGATAGATTAGTCCAAATTTAGGTATCGGTAGTTTGGAATAGCGTATATGATCATATCTTTGGAATCAAAGAGATAGTCAAACGCAAGAATAAGTGAAAACGGTTAAATTATTGAAAACATAATGGAGCACCGTGTACTTAAATCAGTTAGCACCAATGGTAGTGTATACAAAGCGGGGCGAAATCGGGATTCGATATACTCCATTCCATCGACTTCCATCGACGCCACCGATTCTCCATGGCTTGAATCCTCTTTTTAAAACGCCTTCCGCTCGCCATCGGCATGAACATGGCCCCTTCGTGTGGCAACGCATTCTCCACAAATAATGCCAGAGCATCTTGCACAGCGTTCGTAGTTGTCGGTTTCCAAGTTGACAATTGTTCCGCAGATGACGCAAGTAGATTCGGAAAATGCCTTGTCGGACTGAAAACGAAAATATATTTGATCATTAATAGAATCATTAATAAGGTGTCGTTGACTAGGTGAATCTTTGAGTCCTTCGCGACTCGTCGTCAACTGCAACAAGCCGATATATGTTTTTGTAATTTGTTACATGCATTTCATTCATTTTATATTGTATATATATTGGTTTTGCACAAATAAACTATATATATATGAATCTGATCATTAATAGGGGATTAGATCCCGTAGTGTAATAAATATACGTAACAGAAATCATAAATACGCTTATTCAGTCACATGGGGTCTACGGTATGTTTTGAAGAGCTGTGGTATTTCCGACTCGGCATATTCTTCTTACGACTGGGGGCTGGGCATTTTCGAAGGTACTACCGTAGTATGTGCACCAGCAAATTAGGTGTAGGCCATAATTTTATTCCGATTTCCCTTATTTCAGTTCTATTACGAGTTTGGGGACTGTCTATGTTAGCGAAGTGAATATACCCCATGCCCATTGGTTTTAATCTTTTCACACAACTTGATGTAAAGTAGGCGAACAAAATCAGCTACTTTCAAATTGGTACACATGCTCCTGAAGCGCCGAAAACAGAGCTTTTTTGAGTTTTTGTAGGAAAATTTGACTCATTGATCATGTTTATCACCGTTAAACGAATGAAATTCCGACTCAAAGGAATACAAACTTTTATTTCCTATTCCCGACTACGGTTAGTTCAAAAATATGACTCTGACTACAGCCCTGGCAAAAGAATGACAATCTCCAAACCCCTCGTCGAGAGTTTACAACTCTGCAGTATGTACAAGTCAAGTTCATTTTTTCCAACCATTCAAAAAAAATATCACAAGCACAAATGACGAAAAATGATAATTTACACAGTTTTACTGGGGAAGGAAAGGCGCGAGAACCAAAGCTGGTTATGAAGCAGCGATACCCAAGGTTCAAATATATAATTAGAAAAAATTGGAATTTTAGAAAATTGGAATTTTTATCGAGTAGCGACATCCGAGCTTCTAAAATCTAATTTAAAACGTTAGAATTCTAGAGTTTTGAAACTACTGACATTGACGGTGAGTATCGTCTGAAATATCTAACTAAAACCGCTTACCAGAGATTATATTAACCAAAGAGCCATGAAACCAACAGATAGATGGGGAATTCCCCATTTCAACGAAATCACTTTAAGAAAGTGCTGTTTCATACCTGATTCGATGATAGATTACATATTGAGTTGGAAGCGTGCTGCTGAACTAAGGCTCTCGTGGTAAGCCCATTTTAATCCCATTCATAAAGATATTAAAACAAACTACAAAGACTCACATTTGCATTGATGTTGCATCTTGGACACTGGAAAGTCGCCCAGTTGAAAAAAGTTGCCGAGCAGAACCAGCAAGGTTTCCTTGCCATTAGGAAAGGACAGTGAAGTTCGTGCCATTGCACGTTATTTGAATCTGTCTGAATAACTTCGTTGATTTGGTGCTGTCGCCCACACCTGTAAATATAAATTATAACTTATACCGCAAGTTTCAATAATTTTATATGAAACAAATTTAAAATTTTAGTTCAATTACATTAGGACTGATATTTTATGACAGTGGTCATGGTACAAAACAAATGCTAGTATATGTACCATGTTAGGGTTAGGCCAATCTTCCTAATTTTGAGCCTCATCCTTTCCTTTTCCTTTCCGATTTCCCTTATTTTAGTTTTATTACGAGTTCGTAGTTGTCTTTGTTAGCCAAGTGAATATCCCCATGCCTTTAGGTTTCCGTCCATTTACAAGACTTGATGTAAAGTTATATTTATTTGTACCAAGTTAGGATTAGGCCATAATTTTAATTATTTCAATAATAATAATTTTCTAATAAAAATGTTTATTTTTTTAATCATTTTTTCCCTTATATTCTTTCTATCACGAGTTCGGGAACTTTTTCTGTTAGCCAAATGAATATACCCGAAGGCCAGCCCTTGGGTAGGCCGGTAAAAAAACCCACTATTGCACTAAAACTGCGTAATACTTACTCAGTGCATTTAATAATATCATCTCCAACTGTAGCGAAACCAGACCTGGCAAACAGAGCCACCATGAAGAAAAAACGATTCAACAAATGAGATAAAGGAAAGAAGCTGCTAACCCTTTCCTCATATTGGTCCTCGTCTAAAAAAAAGATTTAATCTATTTTAATTTCATTAAGACGAGTTTATTTTATTCAAATTGAATAAAAACATTTCTATTTTTAGCGCTCCTAAAGTATGTGCACCAAGATGACGCACAATCTGAACCCCAACCGGGAACACATACTGTGTTCAGGTTGTGCACCATCTTGGTACATACTTCTGGAGCCTCCTATTTTAATGCTCAACATTTCAAGAAGTTTTGTTATCCGTAGGAAATTCGTTTTTTTTTTCATAGATATTAGTATATCCGGTTTTTGCGGTATACCGTGAATCTCCGCTAATTGATAACCTAGAGATTCTAATTAATTTTACGTGTTTTTTTGCGACGCTAGTCAGTCACTGTTCAAATAAAACCTAGCAACAATAAATAAGAAAACGTGCCGCCATGTTAAGATTCATTCTTTCATTTTTACGCTTGGACGACCACGATTCTGTCGATTTCGCGCACAATTGGTTTTGGCAGACTTGATGAGATTTTTTTTTACGGCCGGGGTCACATGGTGTCGGGGATACGCTGAAGTAACCACAAATTCTATGCTCTCGCGTTCCTATACAAGTTGTATTCATTCTCTACCTTTTGTGTGTTTACGTCCCAAAGAACCCGACGCTCACGCTCTTTGTTTGCTTTTGGTGAAACCAGTTAAACCCGGTTAGAACTGGCTAAAGGCATACGAAGATCACCCTTCATGATCCCGGGTTATAAGATTTTTCTGCCTTGATTTTTTGATTACACGGTCCAAATCATAGTACAAGCTAGTTACGGAATTATTCTAAGATAGTTGACCAATTCAAGTATTTCTAATACATCCATAGCCTTCAAATAAATGCATGCTTACCTATTATAATGTTGGGATCGTTTTCGGCCATTGCTGTATGAGTTGTAAAGCTCAAGTAGTCGTTTCTAAAATTAGGAATATTCAGTTGGAGCTGTGTGATCATTTACTAAATGGGCGACATAAAGGAAGGGCAGTTACTGTGCGATCACAATCGCAATGAAATTTTCTCTTTCAAAGACCTTTCGATGGAATTCTTATATTTATTAAAGTCATTTCAAGAAACTAAATGCTGTCGACTGCCATGCAGTGGAATTGAATGAGGGCTGTGACGTCATGCCGCAGAATAGTATTTATAAAAAAATGTGACGTCACGATAAGAAAATATGACGTAACTTATGGCTCAATGATGCGCTAATCATTGTAGGATCTTACATATTTACTTTTTGCGGAGCATTATTTTTTTTTATATCTTCCTCAAAACTCTTGTTAACCTTGTGATTGGTTTTTCAAATTGTACACTATTGCCCACTAGAAGAACTCGAAGAACAAGAAATCTTCACAATTTGGTGATCAAAAGTTCGGCAGAATTTGACTTGCAATTTCTTCGCAGACAAACAGCAAAAATCTAGCTTAATAAGCAAATATATGTTCTGTAAAATGAATAAAATAAGATTCAAGACAGAATGAAAAAATATACAAATATTAATTTCAATTCTGATTTTTTTACCATTTGAAAATTTGCTGTAGGGTATTTGGGACCTTCATGCAAGTGATTGTCAAGCATAGTTTCGCCAGTACAGTTCAGAGGCTCCGCAAGTTTGCTCTCAAATATGAAAATCTTTATTAATATATTTATATATATTGGTTTGGTAATCTTGAAGTATGCGTACCAAGATAGCGGACACCGGAACGTGGTATGTGTCTGAAACATCGTCGGCTACAAAGATACGACTCGCTCGCTATAATACAGGATAGGGTGGTCGCTAAAAACCAAAAATTTGAAGCTCAGATGATATCATGAATAAAATGCTTATAAGTATAGGTTGAATTGGAACGATATCCCAAAAGCCAACATTTGACTTCTAAGTGATGACACTGCTCCGAAGTGCACGGACAATATGTTTACATCTATGAGTGTAATATACCATATGCCTTTGAAAAATTTTGTAAAAATAAATATCTGCTTGACAAATTTTCTGTTTTCTAGCGACCGCCCTGTATTTACGATTATTTAGTGAGGGGGTTCTTTATATACTTTATAGGCAAATTTAAGTTGATAAGATATGTGAAACTTGTTTTCGTACCGAGACCGATTGTAACGTGATGTGCGTGCGAATTTGTTAGTAAGGTTGGAGATTGGTGAGACGAAAGGAGAGAAAAGAAAAAGGCAGGGTATTTCAATTGTGAGAGAATATAAAAAATCGATGAAAAGAGAAAAAATGCGAAGAGAAGAACAGCACAGTACTCACATGACTATTTTCAAATATTTAGTCTGGTAAATGTTTGCACTAGGCCTAAACTAATAAGGAAGTGCTAGCATAGGTAGGGCGCGATTTGGGTGTGTTCATGGGGTCGAATTTATTCCCTGTCGGGGAACGTTTGCACAATTTGAATCTTCAACCTGGGCCCCAACAATCCTCAGTAAACAAGTCCGTATTATTAATATTACTGTAAATATAGTATTCATAAATAAGAATGCCTCATATACACAATTATTCACTAGTTACATTCATTCATATAAATTACAATAAATCTAGTGTTATCAATTGAGATGTGGCAGGAAACGTTACACATAGCAAGGATGCGATTACCCAAGTGTTTAATGTGTTGGTCAGAGATGTCTCATGTCTGTATACCACTTTACATCTCACTCGGAATACAATGAATTCGGTGATTTAACCTTTTAACACCATAAAAAACGCCTACATCTATATTGATGCAGCTTGCCTAAAGGTAAAGAATATTGCATACTCATACATATGTCCTTCAAGCAAAGGTGTGCAAACTTTAATACGGAAGGGCCAGATACACATGACTGGGTGAAACTGCCATTTTGATATCGATATTTTTTCTTAACAAGAAGCACAACACAAATCTTCGATCTAAACTTTAACCACTCCCGAAATTAGGCGGGCGCGTATTATCAATATTATATATATGGATATAATGTAATTTATGTCATATATTCAACGTAAATAATTTCCAATATACACAATTATTCAATAAAATCACAAGAAAATGTGACTTCCTCAATTTTATATTTCTTGAAAATATGACCCTGCTACCATGACCCGCTGTTACGATCTGTTGATGCTTAGTGTTTGAAATTTGCCACTTTTTACGCGGTGTATTTAGCGTCATGGAAAATTACAGTGTTTCCGAAGCGGCGTTTTCTATTCCGGGATAAATCGTTTGAGCCTTCGTTGTCGCTGTCGAGAAAGGACTGGTATTGTGCAATGTCTGTGAGGCGGTGTACTACCGCACCAGTCAAATCTCGTTCACAGACACTGTACCTGAGAAACCACCGGGATTTGCCTTCGCGTCGCGATTTTCGAACCGGCTTCTCGGCTTCTCGCTATCGAAATTGCTGCTATTTAATTAAACCAACGAGAATCAAATTTTGAACGGATATAAAAAAACACAGATATATACGCTACCCATATTCAAATCATCTCATAAGATGCGTTATGGCATAGAAATATTGTGTATGTTTATACAGAAATGTATCGGCCGATTGCATACCGTTATCGTAGACATTAATGTATAACAGCTCTTGGCGAACAAACGCTAGCGCCTTTTTTAGTAGCAAAACTCCATTTGAAAAACCCAATAGGGCAACACAATGTGCGTCAGCATCTGCTTTTTACACATGCTAAAACCGGTACTCCCGTAGTGTGTGTACCAGATTAGGGTTAGGCCATAATTTTATTCCGATTTCTTATTTTTTTTAGTTCTATTACGAGTTCGGAGACTGTCAGTGTTAGCCAAATGAGTTTATCCCCTGCCCACAAGTTTCATTCCCTTTACACAACTTGATGTAAAGTAGACGAATAAAATTAGTTACCTCCATATTGGTACACACATTTCTGGAGCGCCCTACAATCTACATCGTCCAGGCCCCGTGATAAAACGACACGTCTCCGCTCACAGCAGGTATTCAGGACGCCAATTTGTTTCATTTATGCTTGGTTGGAATGCTAAGGCGGCCTTGTAGGGGGATCGGGCCATGTTTGAGACTTGAATGTGTTTAAAGAAGTATGAAAAAAAAGAAAAAGGCAAGGAGAGAAATGATAAAAAAATGTGAATGGAATTTACACCTACAACGAGAGAACCAGACAATAGCCCGTAGGAAAAAAAAATGCATAGAAAAATGCCACGCTGGCAAACGAAGAGTTTCAACTGAATGGCGCAATCTATTTAACGTGATGCCCGACAGACCAATCTTCAGTTTCCAGTTTTTGCGAATTCTGACAGATTGCACTAGACGAGGAGTAGGGTTATAAAATATATTCCGTGGTGGTAGTGTCTTAAATATTGAATTATTGGTGGAATTAGAAACTTTTTGATTTTTATATTGTAAATTAATGCGACATTGTCCTACGAAATATTATTTTAATTAATTTTTATTTGGCGCATTTACAAGGTATAATATAGTAGCGACCAAATTGAATTATGGATATAGAGCGTTTCAAAATAAGAAAAAGTAGTAATATTTTATATAATTAAGACCCAGTAATATATTAAAAATGTTTTTGTAACATTTATTCATTTTTTTTCGATAATTTATATTCGCATATTTTACCATTCGATTATAAACAAGAAATCGAATTTTTATTTTAAAATTATATAAATTATATTTGTAAATTTACTCAAACATTTAAATTCAGTATTTTTAAAAATTCTTTCATAAATTTGTTCGTATTTTTGATTTATTTTGTACAGCGTATTCGCTACACTTCCATCACGGCTGTAAGAAAGCTGTATCGCGAAATACACGATTACTTTCCATCGATAAACGCGAGCCGACTCGGCGAATTATGTATCCTAAAAATCGCGATGGCACACTGCGAGATACACCGAGCATATGTGTGACTACGGCAGGTATAGTGAGAGCATAGAATGATTTGTTGAGCAGGGACTAAAGGCAAGCCAGGCATCCACTACACAACTAAGAACTAAATCCACAAAACAGGAACAAAGACAAACGAGAGAAATAAAATCGAGAGAAAGGAAGAAAAACGAGAGAGAAAGGGTCCAGACATTCAGACAACAAAACATTCCGCCTTGTTCACCGAGACATAACACAACTCCATTAATACCACGACATACATACGTAAATTATGTATAAAATGGTATTTTAAAATGTATTCTTATTTTTTTCCCCGAAGAAAAGCTTTTTCCTACCAAAACCCGACCAAAAATCAGAACGCCTCATGCAGAACAGTGGTTATCAAACGGTCGGGCGCGCCCAATAATTGTAAACAATTTCTTGAGAGGGCGTAGAGATAATTAAAAATAAAATATTTGTTAGATTTGATCTGGCCCGCCTTATTTTGGATATTCACATTTTTTATTACGGGTATTCTCGTCCCATCTACGTGATTTCAACGTGTTCGAGAATCACTAATAAAGTAGGTAGATATATTTTACAAAAAATATTGAAAATACCCTTTACTTTACACTTGTGAACGTGTACCAACGTTGCACTACTGCGGTAATGGTAAAATCGGTGTGGCGGAATATGCGATGGTACAACGGAACATGAAAGCGCGATGCTCAATTATTTAAGCATGAAAGCCAAAGCGAAGCAGTAGTCTACCTTACCTTTTACAGTACGTTACCTCACTCAGTCAACTGTACGGTACGGTCAAAAAACTTCCGACTTTCGGGTCGCACGCGAGAGGTCGTAGAACCGCTACAAATAATCGCTATTGATTTTGAAGAGGTCACCACACGATATTCCGAAGTGTAAAACGAATAACATAGAGCTCGCTGAAAGTTTATAAATAAATAAAAGCAATAAATTTCTAGCGAAAATTACAATATTCAATCACTAAACAGTCTAAAGAAATTGGTCCAATAGTTAGAGAGAAAAGCGACAAAAACAACAACATAATACCAAAGCAATCTATATGTAAACTTTGTGTCCAATGAGAAGTACCAAGCATAGAATTGTAGTGAGGGCGCAAAATGTATTTGGCGAGTGCGAATTAAACAGCCAGGTACTGCTTTTGACAAATTCACAAAACTGGAACAGACGAACGAGAGAGAAAAACGTAAGAGAGAGAGAAAAAAGGTCAGTTAACAAAACATTTCGCCCAGTTCGTTTGGACGCCAAGTCATAAAATGCAGTATAACGAATTGTTTTAAACTGTTATATTACTTCTTTAAAAAAAGATAGTTTTTTCATATATCAAGCTGACTAGCACAATCTATCCAAACGATGTACATGGCAATCAGAGCGCACCAGAAGTACGTGTACCAATATAATCTTGTTCGCCTACTTTACATCAAGTTGTGTAATGGGACAGAAGCCTATGAAAAGGGGTATATTCACTTGGCTAACACAGACATTCCCGAACTCATAATAAAATTAAAATAAGGAGAATCAGAATAAAGTTATGCCCTAACCCCAACATGATACGCATAC